AAAATGTCTCTGGTATATGGTTGTTCATTATTTTTGTTATTTTCTCGCCTGGTCCATTATAGTCCTGCTATGAGTGAAACCATCCAGTATTTTTCTTTCTCTTTCTAGCTTACCTCACTATGCATGATCTTTTCCAGCTCTATCCAAGTTGTAACAGCAAAATTTTACTCCTAATAAAATTTGGGTTTTTTTTTTTCCCAAATGAGACATGGTATTTGCTTTTATTTTAATTATAAGAAAAATATCATTTGTTTTTTCTAAATATTTATATGGCATTTATTTTGAATAAATTATGTTCTCAGGATAGTGAAAATATGTGTGATGCAAGAGAAATTTAAGTGATGTGAAACTTTTCTAGGAAAGTATATTCATTTGTTTGGTGGGTAGTGAGGATTAGAGCATCATTTAAAAGTGATTTGTAATCTACAAGGGAATTTGGTAGAACTGATGGTTAACACTTCTAGTACTAAAATGTATTTTAACCTTGCTAGTTAAAAATCTTTTTGCTTTTGCAAGGTGTATAAAACAGTATTTGAGTTTTTCTTTGATTTGGGAATGTTTGAAATGTAACTATTTTGTATTAAATGGATTATAAGGAATATGAAATTTTTTGTTTTGCCCCTTTAATTCTTGCCACTATATTGCCTTCATGTGAGCTGATTTCTCTCTATGTGATTGCTAGTATATTTTACATAGTATTAACCACACAACTAAAATTTAAGATATTGAACTTTGTAAAAAGTAGGATGGATACAAGAGTAAAACGTAAACAAGTGGAAAGCCAGTGTTGCTTTCTTTCTGTAATTGTTTCTGAATAATGTGTGCTGTTTTCTAAATGTGTGCTATTTAACATACATAATTCTGTAGCAACTCAAGATGTGTGGTTATTTCATTTTTAAAAATTATAAAAAGTTCTGTACTTCAGTTGTATGGATTATCTGCATTCCAGCTGCTCACCAGTCATATGTGTTAGACAATGCAGGTGTAGAATAGTTCTGTCGTCTCATAACTGTTCTAGATGTTTGAAATGAATTTCAGTAACCTTATTTTTTACTACTAAAATAATGAACAGAGTGTGACTTACTAAGTGATTTTTCCCCCTGTTTCTCATGTAATTGTCAAAAATGAAAATAAACTTTAGTAATTTCCTTCTGTTTATAGTCCAAAATGTAGGTTTGAATACAAACAATCGGACACACCTACTAGGTACTATTGCTATTGTGGAAAGGTAGAAGATCCACCTTTAGATCCATGGCTTGTGCCTCATTCATGTGGCCAAGTATGTGAGAGAGAATTTAAACCTCCTTGTGGCCATAAGTGTTTACTTCTTTGCCATCCAGGTGAGTTTTATATTACATTCTTTTTTTGTGTGAGAATGAGTTGTTAAATTTTTAATCTTGTCAAGCAAAGAGAATGTGAATGTCGAATTCAGAATTAAAGTTTATATAAGAAGATACTAAAAAGAATTGTCTTTTAAAATATTAGTAAAGAATATGTTCAAGAACTGAATGTTTTAACTTTCGACTTAGGATTTTTTTCCTTCATTATATTCTAGGTCCCTGCCCTCCTTGTCCAAAAATGGTCACAATCACTTGTTACTGTAAGAAAGGAAAACCGATTCCTCGTAGGTGCAGTGCCAAGGAGTGGTCGTGTCAGCTGCCATGTGGGCAGAAATTGCTGTGTGGACAACATAAATGTGAAAATCCTTGTCATGCAGGTAAAAGGTCATACCTTTTAGGTGTTCTGACTATAAGCAGAAGTCAAAGCAATCTCTATTGTTTTTATGTTTTTGTACTAATTTATCATTGTGGTTTTAGGGAGTTGTCAGCCCTGTCCCAGAGTTAGCAGACAAAAGTGTGTCTGTGGCAGACAAGTAGCTGAAAGAAGCTGTGCCAGTCCACTATGGCACTGTGAGCAAGTATGTTGAATATGTGG